CCAACAGTTCTGCGGCAGTATATATACTGAGAGCATACGTTATTATAAATCAAAGAGCCATTTTGTGTCTGTAGATAGTAGTATCTGTTTTCTTATGGCTATTCTTACAGGTCACTTTTTTACATTTATATTGTCCTCTTTCAACAAATTATAAAGTTTATAACGTGTATTGTTCTTCAGATAGCATATACTCAAGAAAAATCCTTGGTATGGGAAAAGTATGCTAAAAAGTTTCTGAATTCGTTTTATATCTTGGAGGTAGAAGGTAGTGTCTTTTTTGCATCCTATAACCTTGCCTATCAAAACTTGTTCCTTAGAGCAATGTCAAATATTCATGGAGAAACTGTGCACGAAATTACTACAACGCATGATCCAGCTTTTGCGGAAGAATATCAAGCTTTTATGCATATATGTAAAGCCGTAACATAGAAACTCGGCGTAGTAAAGTATCGCCAAGTCTGCATCACACTTTTGTATACCTTTTGGATATCTTACACAGCGGAAGTGTAACAAGCCTATTAAGATGCCAATGTAGGTCTGTGTGTTTGGAAAGTGAATATGGAGTCACATTTTATGATTATAGGGGACATAAGGACATAAAATAAAGAAACGTCGTTAGACATTTTAACCAGGATGGGAGAGTTATATGTGAATAGACTAGTTTTTCATACAATTTCATACAATTTTGATACATTAGACCTGTTGTCCTTCGTAGCAAAATATTCAGTGGATATCATTAGACAGAAGTCAATATTGTCTTTATTGCTGGTGTTGTCATATGAAAAGGTTACTGTTACTGTTAATATAACCATTGTTTCATTTGCAGTATGTTGTACGTATGGACTCCGCATTATTTTTAAAAATGAGCCAAAACAAAACTACCGTATGACAGTTACTGGAGAAGAGTGACTAGATGTTGCTCTAGAAGACGAAATTACTTGAATACCTTTTCTAGGGCATTTTCCACATTTTAGAACAATAACAATACTTTGAGGCCTAACGCTACTACTCCATGAGAGGGTGCCATTTGTCAGGACTACTCCGTGAGAGAGTGCCAGAACTGTATGGGTTCCTTGGGCGTCGAGAGGACCTCATTCCAGTGGTTCAGGGCTCGGCCTCGTGCAAACATGAAGGATCCGATGATGACGCGACCTACGAGACGACCTGTGGGGATGTTAGGGGCAGTTAGGAGAGGTCTGGAAGGTGTTTTAAAGGTTCGAAATGTGTCTCAAGGATCTGAAATGTGTCTTAAAGATCTAAAAAAGATCTGAATGGTATTTTAAAGATCTGCAGTGAACGTTGATAGTATTACTGTAGTATTCCTGTAGTGCTGTACAGAAGTCAAAACTACATAATATGTTAAACGTGAAAAAGCAACAACATCGCATCTTCCTATAAAAACAAACCCATTACTCATTAACGATTAACAATCTAATTTCAGACTCAGTATCAAAGTTAATAAGTTTTGTCATCTAAGAAGGTACACGTATTACCCTTTCCGACACTTCAGCACCAACTGATCCCTTGACATGATACTAATTGGACCCTGGAAATGAACTGATTTGCTTTTCGCTAAATGACCCTCTCAAAAATTGGCCTTAAGACATGAACAGATTTTTTTTCACTAACTGATCTTTTAATATAAAATGATCTTTAGACGCAAACTGACCCTTGGACATGAACTGACCTTTTGATACTAATTCACCCAAACGACACTAGCTGACCCTTTGACACGTAATGATCTTTCGACACACACTAACCCTCTGGGATAAACTGATCTCTTAACACAAACTAACCTCTTGACATGAACTAGCATAAATACCGACTGATACTTAGACACGATCTAACCTTTAGAGTTGGAGCTCGACGCCACATACAGCTGGAGGGTGAGGTGGACCCCCTCGAGGGCGGGCGGGGGTCTGAAGTGAAAGGACTCGTTGTACTGAGGCTCTTCGCACGCCGCCACCACAGTTGTTTTCTTCGTCTTGACCGCCCGACGCTGGTTCATGAGGGACACCTTCACCCACGACACCACCTCGCCGTCGTTTACCTGCGCGGGGAACGGTGGGGGTGAGTAGGGGGTGTTTGTGGGGGGAGGGCGTGGGGGAAAGGGCGTGAGAGAGGGTGGTGGGGAAAAGAAGTGAGGGAGGGTGTGGGAGAGGGTGTGGGAAAGGGCGTGGGAGAGGATGTGGGGGAAAGGGAGTGAGAGAGGGTGTGGGACAGGGTGTGGGGGAAAGGGAGTGAGGGAGGGTGTGGAGGAGGGAATGAAGATGGAGATGTGGGGAAAGGGAATGAGTGGGAGGTATTTGTGTTGCGTGGGGGAGGGCGTTGGAGGAGGGAGTGGGGGAATATGTGGGGGGGTGAGTGGGGGAGGGAGTGGGGTGTCTTTACAGCATATGAGAGTATGAAAAACCTGTTAAAGGAATATGGAATGTTTCGAGAGAGAGTGGGGTGTTTGCATGTGAGATAGTATGGAGTATTGCGTTGCATGTTGCATGGA